GAAGGAATAATTATGTATATAGACAGATAATTTTGTTTAGTCTCTAGACCTGAAACTTGCAGAACCACTAGCGAAAGAAGGAATAAATTAGACAAATGAAAAAAAGGGAACAAAGGTAGGAAAGATTCGTCTTCGACGTCGTTATTTTTTTTCATTTTTCCAGAATTTTTCCCGGTACGGTCACAGACAAAACGATCCCGACTGGTCGGGAACCCAGTATGAACTGGTTCGCGTCAACGTGTAAGTATGCATTATGGCGTCCGACCAGGCATCGAGTTTACACGAAGAATAACGAAAACAGCCGAAGACGAACCACGTGCACACGGAACGAATCATTCACGTATCTCGCCTTGCGAGCTGCCCACTGACGCGTAATCCAAATGAATTTTCATTTTTACCGGTTCGAGGATCGAGCATGGTAAAAAACGAAGTTCAAGCTAGACACACTATAGACTTCTTGGTGCGATTTCAAGGTCCATCGGCGATATATATGCAATACTTGAATCCGTGTGGTTCTTATTAGAATAATTATTTCAAAGAAACGTGTTAACCATCGAACTGTCGTTTAGCAGTAACGCCAGAGATTGACAACGGGTCAATTGTGACCCATACCGATATTTGTATGTCGTAAAGATTTATACATTGAAACTTATAAAAATCTATAAAAGAGAATAGAATAGAAATTTTCATGAAATTCTATTATCTATACTTCCAACCTGCTGGAATTATTTATACACGAGATAAGGTTTTATTTCACTTCAGTTTCCTGATTCTTTTACCTTAATAACTAACATTTGTATGATCTGATGCTGATTACACTTTTAACACATTTCTTTGATAACAGTTGTAAGTAATATCCTCATATTGCTTACGTTGAATTAATAAAAATCAGAAAGAAAATCGATGCGTTCCATGAACGAATGAATGCGTTCCACGATGAAAAAAAATAAGACTTGCTAACCTCGAAAGAATGTAACGCTGAATATCAAAAGTGATCCAGCATTGGCGCGGTCAAGGTCTAACGCGTTTATATGTCCTCCACCTAAGTGGAGACAATTTCTTTCACTATCATAACTGAAACTTCTGAATAACTGTTAAAAATTTACCGTATTTGTATTAAAGTAAATCAATACTTAATTTAAAAAATTATAATGCCCAAATAAGTATAGTTACAAATCTTTTTAAATATTTTCAAAGCCGAATATCTTAATGTATAAAAAAAATTGAAAACTGGTTTATCCATTGATAACAGTTGTATGAAACGGTAAAGGAATACCTCCGCCCTATAATTGATCGCCGGATACATCGTAACGGGCCGACGGTAACCGAATTTGAACGGAAAAGACCGAACGTACCACGTGTCGTTCGATCATATTCCTATAGCGTCCAGTGACCACGAGTCACCTCCCTTTTCAAATATGATAGAATAATCGCTGCTTAATAAGGACGCAATTAAGCCTATATTTTTTAATAGCAGTTCATGAATACAATGTTTAGGTTCAATTTAGTTAGACGTCAGCCTTGCTACGATTAAGCATTGGAATGTGTCCGGTCAACAATCTCGCGGCAACAATAATCGATTTTACTCGCTTCAAAGAAAGAGATGCGTGAAAACAAAGCGCATAGCGTACGAACAATGAAAAAAACAATGTACCGATAACTATGTAATTATGCATGTAAAACGAAAAAATAAAGTTAAAAACTTCGGAAAATTAAAAAATCTGCGATTATAGGCAAATTAAAAAATATTCACATTAAAAAATTAATTAAAAAATATTGTTCATTTTTTTTAGTGACACTGAAAAATATCGCGTACATACCGTGCTCGAACGCTCTTAGCCAGTGATTGTTCGATGCGTCCTTAACCTCGACACTATTTCACCGAAGAAAAACCGCGCCGCGCAAACCAAGTCACGATAAACATCACCTTCGAATCGACAGACGCTTCACCCACCGACAACTATCTCGATCAGCGGAGCACGCGTTCCGCGGTGATCGTTCGATCGGTAAAAGCGCGTGTCACGAAAAAGATTCGGCATGCGCGGCTTCCGCACACGTGACTCGAACACTGACAGGCACAGCCTCTTGTCAGCTAGATAATTAGAGGTTAGGTACGCACGTTTCACGGTTATTCCATCACTCGAGTCAACAGAAAAGCTATAAAATTCTAACTAACACACACAGAGTCGTTCGATTCCGATGCGTGATCACGATACTCTCGAAAATTAAACGGCGGAAAATTTGTCCGACCGGAATCGAAACGCGGGAGAATAGTACACGGCACTGGTAACAAACTTGTATTAGACGCGACCTTTTAAAGAGGCACGAACGCTGCGGCATCCAATCGCAGACTGACGCACAGGCATGAATCGGGCTAACTTTTATGGTCCCTCTATCGACACTTATTGCGGGTAATTATGCAGTTGACGCGACCGATCGCGGCAAATTCCTTTATCCCCTTAACCTCTTAACGACTAAATTATTAATTTATAATCAAAGCAATTTAAATTGTTGCAAGTTCTCTTCAAAACTTCTTTCATAATCGCAAATATCTAAGTAAGAACAAAATACCGGTAGTAGTATAGATAGGATATCAATGAATAAAATTTTAGCTTAATAGGATCTTGTATATTTCTTATACAATATTCTTAGTATATGTCCAATTACTTTACTGATCATACCTGGTACAATAATTTTCTTTACCACGAGATATTTCTTATTTTCTCCGTTTCTGAATTATAAATTATTAATATTTTCAAAGACATTTTCGTGTAATGACGTACTAAACTTCTAAATTACGTCAATATGTTAATTTTTACGTAAAGTTGTTAGAAAAATATTGAATGTACGAATAATATTTGAATGCCACTATGTATATGTTATAGAAAACGTTTAGAGGTTAAATTATTTTTAGTGTCATATAATCGAAAACATTTTCAATAACATTTTCAATAACAGAATGTCCTCAATCTTGTAATAACGTAGGCCGAGGTATAAAATTCTGCGAGAATGATTAGTAACTACATACTTATTGCAAACACAATATAACCTAACTGGATCCTTTGTTCTCTCCGCTGTTCCAACACGATTGAAACAAAACACGCAACGGTTAACATTATGTCGGTTTTTCTAGCCGTTTTCTTTTGTTCAACAGAAACAGTCGGACTGACCGAAAAGGAACTAAATTACACCATGGCTGTCTGAACGATAACATTTGTCTTTTACGTTAGTGATTTCGCGAACTCACTGTTCACTCGAATTTTGTATCGCAGCACGTTTTGGTCACGTGGTAGCTGTTTTCTTATTCATTGCAAACAGGGTTACCTATACATAACGCTTACGATATTTTATGTTACATTTGCCACTTAGCCCCAATTTGTATACAATTTAATCTTTTTTTTTTGTCGACAGTCTATCGTTAGATGAGATTCATATTCATTAATTACAAGGAAACAGATAGGGAGACAATTTAACTGATCAATTGATATAGGCATCTCTCCCTTGGGCAACATAGGAACGTCAAAGAAACTGGATAACTGGTTCATTACCATAACGGTCATTAACAGAATTATTTCACAACATAAGATACTTTGTGTGGACATTTGCCTCTTCATTGAAATTCCAGTCTTATCTTAGAGCAGTGTCTGCGCTGTTGATTCCTTAAAGTATATACCGAAAGTTTATACATACAGATCGTGACGATTACTTTTACTACATAACCTCAATTGAAAACCATAGATCTTGATGTTTAAATAATAACGAACAAAAGTGTTGGTGCATTCCTGTAAAACTTTAATTTGATATTCTTTTCGAATAAGAGTATTCCATTTTTTTATAATAATTTATTATTTCATAAAAGTATTTTTAAAATCAAGTATTACATCCCATTTAGGAATTCACAAGTTAATTTGCGCATGTATGTGTTTCATAGTAAAAAATATCGGTCAAACTTTGTACGTACAATATTTAATACATTCCCTAAATCTTATGAGTATCGTACCCATGTGGTCGTGTGAGCGTTCATAAATTCGATGATAATCAGGTCACGAATTATCAAACAATTCAGCTCCAATGTTTTTAGTTGCGGTTACGAAAAATTTTCCACGATTAAATGATTCGATCAATTGGCCGGGTCAAACGAGAACGGAGGATTACACGAGTCTCCCCAAGTACGTTGACACACAGCGTCCGGAGTTCTTTCACGCGTGCATGGTGGCGCGCGTGTGCGAATCCGACGAAACGACATGTGTATACGCGTCCACGTAATGCTCAGGCGCGAATTACTTAGTGTCGGCATCCAATTGATTTAAAATGCCGCGTCTTGAGTGCATTGAACTTAGTCTGCGTCTCGAGTACATTGAATCGGTGATAAGAATTATTCTTATAGCATTCAGAGATGAACGTAAGTCCATTTAATTATGGCGATACAGTTTATAGAATGCAGTCAAACCTCTGGTCTTGATAAGAGGTACTCAACTGAAAGAATTAAGCGTTCGTTATAAAAATTCTTCGCATAAGCGACGTAGACAAATTTTTCATTAACGCTATAGAAAGTAGAGCAAAGTAGAGCAAGTCTTTTGATTCATAAAATAATAATACTGAAATATAGTATTTTTATTTTTCTTCTCTTTTAGGCACAGAGAATACGTCAATGAAATTTGTCGATAATTTTCACCTTCCACTTTGTGCAAAGTGTAGCAAATGTCTTTAACAAATTTTTTGAAAATTTCGAGAATATTTATTATCTTTTTAACAGTATTTTGAAGTTTTATCAAGGAATAAATTTTTGTTCTCACTTGTACAATGATTTTGAAATATATCTTTGCCTTTGTGTCTTATCAGCAAAGTTATCATAATTGTTACTTAACCCATTCTGAAAACATTATTAGTAAAATGCAAATATCCGTTTAGGTGGGTTAATGTAGATAAGAAACCGTAGCCAACGATCGATTTCGACATTCGATTCTCACACGTATACCAAGAACGTATCATAGACTTACCGGGTACCAATGAGTTGATATCGATCAAATCTATCGCCGACTGACCCGCGATAACAGCGCAGTTGGTAGCCTTGATTGGTGCGCTGCCCGCTGCAACTCAGGCAACGGCGAGCTCCTTGCCAAACAACCAGCATCACTAAACAGCCAAACGAATCACTCTCAGGTTCTTTGTCTCTGGTTACACTTGATTAACTGTATATCGTTTTTCTGATGACCGAAATCATTCAAACATTTTGGTGCCGCTCAAATTATGTAAATTATATTATATATACAATGGGTTGTCTTATGTGCTAGGCAATTTAAGCACAATGTCGAAGGAGTGTGTAAAAATGATAAAATGAATAAAAAAACAAAAATAGAAAGGTGCTAGGATATTTTTAACATTTTTCGGGTCTTTCTAACAATTTTAACAGTCCATTGAAACAAGGGTGAGGTGAAGACTTGAAAAGTGGCTATACTTGAGCCGAAAGAAACAAATATTCGCATATTTAACTTCTAATTTTGTAGCATTATGTTGGAAATACCACTAACAGTTGAAAGCAAAATATAAAGGTGCGTTAATGATTTTTTTCCCGACTTAGTACATAACCGGGATCCAATTTCTGCATCTTCTACGCAAGTGTATCGTTCAAAGTTCACGTAACTCGTATCTGATGCACCTTTGTTCAACGTACGTTGATCACCGTTGCTATAGTTACGAGATAAAACGTTCTGCAATGTAAATACATATTACGCCACCAGATTTTTTGTTACCGTCTGATCTTTGAATGATACCACGTGATTCGTAAATCCACTTGCAATGTTACAATAAATAAATAAAAAATAAATAAAATACAAAATAAATCAAAAATAATCGATCAATTACCGTAGGATTCTATTGAGAATTGTTCGTATTTAAGCTAGTAATTTTTTTACATATCAGATATTGCATACATCGTTGAAAAGTTCAAAGGAAAGTGTAGAATTTATTCTTTACCGTCAGTCGAACATTCTTACCGATTGTTGCTTCCGCGCCAAGAAATTTGCAAGACTCTATTGCACGTATTCCTACGGGTCATTTGCAATAATAAATTTACTGTACACTATACACCGAAAATACCAAGTGAATTAAAATACCCGTTCATTATATTTATAATTTCATTATATATTTAGAGATTATAGAATATGTTATGGCAATGTCTGCTGACTGTGTATCGTTTAAAAGCATCATACGACTGCTCTATATAAAATCTAATGTAACATTATTTTTAATGAGTATAGTATTATAAAAACGATAACTCGTAATAATTACTTGAATGCTATAACAGAGTTACCAGTTTAACGTTCGCTGGTCTAAAACGTTACTTCTGGTTTTGAATTTTAAGATGAGTTTATTTTTGAAACTGTTCGGATTACAATAAATTGTACAAAAGTTGGTCAATATTTATGTCTAAAAACGGTAATGATTCATCTCAAAAGTATCGAGCTTTAATTTTACTCTTTTGATTATGATGGATAAATGTTTGTGCGTCTCATCAGTGATTAAGAATCTATCTTCAGTCCGTTTATCTTACCAACGCTGCAACGTAACACGGATATTCATTGCGCGAAGTCAGTCTCGAGAACCGGCGGGGAGACGAATTTTTTCTGACAGAAGTGTTTATTATCGTATACTATTTCTTAGTTCTTTTCGTTTTACTTTTGTTGTGATAAAATATTAAAAGACGAGCATGCATTGCCATTTCGTAGAATAATGTCTGCATTTATCATGTAGGTATGTTTGTGTACACAAAAGTACTTATGTAACTTAAAATATCCTATATCATCCACTAATACTTTCACGTACTATAGTCGGTAGTTTTCATTTAAGTGTACAGCGGAACAAGCAAACACTCGTGACGAATCTATTTTAAAGTCGGAACTGTACACAAATGTATTACGACCGTAAACTAGATAATAGTATCTCAAGCCTCTGTTACTGCAGAGGTGAAAGTCGCTGTCAGTGTTCTATACATTGACAGTGTCATTATGTGTTGCTTAAAAATTAAACTTTATTAATTAATTTTTATAGAAAAAATAATGTTACATTTACAAGTCGATGTACCTTAAATTTCTGTTTCATTTTCACTGAGTTTTAATTATAATAGAAATGTTGTATAATCGACACCGGAAACAGTCATGTTGTCAAATTTAAATGAATTTCATCGTTAGAAGATCACATTACCGGTGAACTTAATACTAATGTTCGACCGACACAATAATAAATAAAAAGAAAGTATCTTATCCTAAAAAGAATAATACAAAATATGAAACGCAAAACACAGTATCTTTCTTTCAATATATACGTTGAAAATACATATGTCTCATTTACCTTGCAAACGTCAAGTACACGCGATGGCGTCTTGAATATTCCACGCGGTTGCGACAATCGAAACCTCAGTCGGTATTATCACGCATTACAAATCCTTCTTGCCTATTGATTCACTACCGTTTTATGAATATGCGCGCACTGAGTCCACGTTTTTGACTTTCGAGTGTACATACGTCGCACATCAATGACACAGCTAAACGTTAAATAAAAATTTGTTCAAGTGACAACCCTAGAATTTGACGTGACGGTATAGGACAGATGATACACGAACGAAACATGAATAAAACTATCGAGTATTTATGAATGGTTGTAACGTATTAAAGAGTGATACGACGAATGAAACGGTTTACGAGTTCTTTTGCGAAAACGCGGCGGATTAATATCGAGATTGACACGAACGATCAGCACCAGTCGAGGTACGATTGAATACTGCCGAGCAACGACACCGACGCGCATGCGTCTCTACTTCCTCGTACACCATATCCGCCGGGAAATATAAAATATATGTCAACTGTGTGACTCGTACATCTTGCATCAATGATACAGATATCTGCTAAGAATTGTAATATAGAAATATAACAGTACATAAAAATATTAGTACATTCGATTTTTTTATGATCACTTTATTTAAAAAAGTAATATATTAATACAATTCAGATTAATTAGTATTCCATTATTCGCTCTAACGCGAAATGAATTATTAATAGATCACCGTACGTCACTGTTCATGGTTATTATTTTTACGTTATTTCTCAATGATAAATTATTAACCTTTCTGAATCAACATATTGTTCGCA